TATTTTTAACACTTGTGACACTTGTAGTTCTGAGACAGGTAAACCTACACAAGGTGGAGCTGCCTGCCCCCTCCATGGACCACGCTCAAATGCAGCAGAAGATACTGGGCAAGAAAATGCCCCACCCTGGCATTCTTTGAGACCTTACTCCAGGGCTACTGGACTGTCCTAGCCACCAGAGAGTGGGTAAGCCATCCTAAGTTCTAGCCCTCATAGGAAATGTCGACACTGCCAGATTCGTCACCGACAGAAAATCGCTGCTGAAGACTGAGGAAGTTCAGGGCAACAACAGCCCCCTTTAAGGTGTCCGTCTCAGATTCCAAGTCGCACAAAACTCTCAGGTAAGACATTCTCTATATTTGTGGACATAGAGGCCAGATATACAGAGTTCTTCCTGAGTTTTCAGGCTGCTATATTAAGTCCTCAGTCTCTATGATGGGGTATTGATGGTCAACCTATGCCATTTACAAACAGGGCCTATTTTGTGCAGGTCCCAGTCTTCTCACTTGGTTTATACTTTTTCAGGATACATAAAAGCCTTTCTCATACTTGCTAAAGTTCTGTTACAGCAAATCATTCCAAGGACTACAACCAGGTTACAGTGACCCATGCCTAAATCAAAGTTGCTAGACTGCCATCCTGGTTTCACATCACTCAGGCTAAGAGGTGCCCTCCCAGCCCTAAATCTGATCATTCTGAGTGGTCATCTCATCTTCTGTCTCCTACCTGTCTCCGTCTCACAAAGGCCTCGCAGCCACAGTTAACAGGCTAAGTCATGTTTTGTTATCCACTTTGGTTCCTAATTTCTTACATTCTATTAATGATCATTTTTACAGCAGGACTCTTTAGCAGTATTGCCTACAGACTCCAACATCATGCATACCAGAGACAAGCCTTACCAACCTACCGTCTTAACTTTTATGCTTTCAGATGGGGGAGTAATCACCTCTCATAACTCCACTCCTCCTAACCCCACGTTTAATTTTCAGAATTCTGCCTCACCGTGGAAATGTTTCTACCTCAACATGGTCCTGATAGAATGATATGTCTAAATCAAAGGCACCTTTCCCTTTACCTCACCTGGGTCCTTAAATATGACAGTGCCATGTCTCCTCATAACATCTTGTCTCTTTGTTTTTCCAGTCTGACATACGTGCATTCACCAGTGAAGCTGTCCTGGCCAAAACACCTGGTACCAGCGTCTACCTGGGCATCAACCTTCATCCCGTCAACTCCCCTAGGCTCCAGTACAGCGCCCTTTGCCAGCAGGAAGTAGTTAAAGAGAGAAAGCTTTGCCCCTTTTCATAATAACCATAAGACGGGATATGAAAGGTTTGGCCCAGACAGGACACTGTAGCCAGGAAAGCCACAACCGGAAGCAGGAAGCCCCATCTTGCCCTGCCCCTAGGAAGTTACCTGTGACGCCATCTTCCCGCCCCTGGGAATTTACATATGGCACCAAACCTAGGACCAATGGGCTACCTGTGTATCCCTAATGCCCGCCTTAGGTTCCACCCCAAACCGAGATTATTTACAGGCCCCCACGCCGCGTGTCCGCCGGAGAGATCGCCGGACGCCAGCGGTGGGGGTTGCCGGTCATCTCTCTCCGTGTTCTCAGAATAAAGGCCGCTTTTTATTTTATATTTCTCATCTTTTGTTAATATTTTTCATCTTTTGGAAGTAACTCTATCAGTTTTCACCTACAATTCTGATTTTTTCATATCAAGTGGCCTTTGGATGCATTAAAGTTTATCATACAAGTGACAGAGATGTGGGCACTTTCTTCAGTTTTGCAACCAAAGCAAATGCCTCACTGGCTTCATCCTAGGCTGTCCCAAATACCAGGGCCTCAAAGGACATGGAGGATTTTATGAAAGTGAGAGGCAGTTTCACTGTGAATTGCAGATCATCCCTGAGAACAATGTGATCCATGTGGAAAAACTCAGGGCTTCTAGTCACCACCAGTGATGAAAGACTCTCATGGTTAAAGTCCTCAACATTCAGGTCCAGCTCTCAAAAGAGAAAAAGCTACACCAGACTCTCACCTGGGTCGTAGTCAAAATGGGGAACGAACTGAAGCCTGATTACCAAGGGAAATAGCAACTGGGCAATGAAATAATGAGTCATGAGGCCATGAGCAGGAGAAGAATTCAGCAATCTCAGGGTCATAAACCAGACCCAGAGAAGAGGCATTTGTGAGAAAAGGACACCCAATAGGACACAAGGTTAGACAGCAGAGAGCAGGCAGGGCTGATCACATTGTATCGCCTTGCAGAAATGAGAAAAATCTCAAATCTGGGACTGCAGGTACAGCTCAGTTGCATAGTGCTTCACTAGAATTTGGAGGTGCTGGGTCAGTCTTAAACATCCACAAGAAAACAGACAGAAGAAAACTTCCATCCTCATCCATCATGAGACCATACTCATCTCAATCTGTGGACATCAATGGGACATGAGGAGTGTTCAGACTTCACCAAATTTCAATCACAGCAGCCAAGGATGTGCCTAACCAGGGGGCCTAGGGGCTATGACAGTAAGTCAGGACAAAAAAGAGAAATTAATGAATACTTTAAGCACAGACTGGACTTGATGTGCATTTCTCTTTGTTTTGGAATAAAGAATTTTTATTATTATTTCACGTTTAACGTGAGAGATGGATCATTCCTACATTCAAATGAAAAATCATAGCATGGGGAAAATTCCCTGACTTACACAGAATGGCTAAGATGAAGAACTGAGGGTCTCATTCTGGATCTGAAGTGATGGCCGTGCCTCCTCCACAGGGAAAGAAACCTCTGAGCAGAGAAGCACACAGTCCAGCCTTAACAGGATAGTGAAAATTTTTGGTTGAAAATGAAGACCTCAGCACCGTATTGCTCTACTTTGCTCTCAGACAGCAGCAGGATCTGCAGAGCCCCACAACAAAGGTGAGTCAGCAAGAGGGTGACATCCTCAAGGCCAGCTGCTAGGAAGCCAACTGCTGGGTCCACTGGGTAGATTGCATACCAGAGCCTGAGGCCAGACTCAAGCATCTCCATTTAACACTGTGTATGCAGAATTACCATCTATACAAGAAAGGATCATACAATCCTCATTTTTGAATTTTAATGAAACTTTAAATGAAAATATTACCCAACTCAGTACTTAACAGCTCCCATGAAAGTCCCCAAAACAAAAGATCTTCAACATTTGTACGAGAAAAAAAGTTAGCCATAGAGAATAACAGTTCCCTTAGATAATAATTGCACAAATCAATACATTATTTTCCTCGTATGGGCTTCCATAATGCTCAGTGCTACAGCAGAGCCACAGTCACAGAACTTTTTCCTTTTTAAGACAGGATGATATGGATAAATTTTACATTTATAAAAAGCCACATTTCTAGTATACAATACTATTGATTTTGACACATGTGTAACTGTGTGTTGAAAAACATGTTCTGGCTCTAAGTTAGGACCAGTAAGTACCCATTGGCTTTCCAGGGTGCACTCTGTTCACCCACAACAAACTCACCTGAGACTCACTGCTGCCTGCACCCTGCATAAATGCTCTAGATGTCTCAGATACTCATAGAGAGCTTTCCTTCAATGTGAACACCACAAACTATTTAAATTGCTGTGTTTTCTAGGGAACACATTTGTTTTTAATTTTGGATAAAGTATATCAGTCATTCCTGCTGTCATAATTCCATAGATAGCTCCTTTGGAGGTGAGGATCTCACTTTGGTGCATCCCATTGTATCTTTACACCACACTGAAAACATCATCATGGGCTCTCCATGGTGCCACTCAATATGTCTGTTCTCCTGGTACACACTAAGCAAGCAAACAATGGCCACTTTATAGAAAAAACAACTTTAAAACTCACTGTCTTCGCTGTCTTAGAACAGACAATGCTGATTTGCAATTGAAAATGGATGCATAAATGGAATCAGCTAGCTCATTATTCCCACAGGGGAACAAAGTTTTCCTCCTTAACAATGGAATATTTTTAATTAACTGATGTTGAAAAAATGCAAAGCAGAATCTCTGTAACACAAAATCTTACCCTTCTTTCCTGTGGACTGAAGTTTCTCAGTACTGACATCTGGACAGCACACAGGGAGGCCACACACAGAGGTATGACCTGGAGAGGGGCCAGGAGGAAATGTTGGGAGTAAGAATATGAGGGACACAGGCTCTGGGACACCTCTAGGACTTTAAAAGGACAGATTCCCTCCTGGATCCTCCAGAGTGAATGCATCCTGACAGCATCCTGGCTCTATCACACTGAACACTGAGTTGGACTTCTGACCTGCAGAAGTGTAACATGATGACTTTTGCATGTTCAAGAAGTGAAATCATGTGAAATCTTTCTGTAGAAATGGAAAAGTAATGTGGATGTCTTTACTTAGTTTTTCTGTAAGAATCTTTCATAATAAAGTATGTAAGGCACACCAGTCCATTTAATTTTCTGCTAAACCTTGTCACCATTCTTATCAGAAGGAATGGGATACAGTTTTTAGGTAGATGGAGAGAGTGCACCTCCCATGTCACATGGCCAGCAAACAGCAGGATAGACACTAAAATGAGTTCAGGATGCTCCAGGATGAATCAAACGGGGAGAATGACTACAACACTGGTTGCAGACATTATGTTATGTCTTCAGCTTATAAGCTGCTGTTAGTAGCAGTGAAATGTCTTCCAAACCCATGGTGACTGAACTGGTGAGTTAACCACAGACCCTTGGGTGTCTGTACAGTGAGTGAGCAGTTTCTGATGGAATGAGGATATGTAGCTGACCTGTTTGAACCTAGCCTGGGCTGCACAGTGAACTCAAGGCCAGGACGAACTACAAAGTGTGATTGTGTCTCAAAATTCCCCAAATTAAGAAAGATTTCAAAGGAATTACCCCCCTAAGAACAATTTTAATTAATCTAGTACATTGGAATGTACATATATGCATTTATATATAGCCATATATATATATATATATATATATATATATATATATATATACATTTATAGATACATATTCCTTCATGTCTGTGTACAAAGATACGGATTAACATGTAAAAACATATAGAGAGATGTATTTCTATACAAACATATGTTTATAGTATACCCATTTACATGTTAATATCTGTTCGTATTCATATTAACATCTCTCTGTGGAGATAAGTAAGACAGGATATTCATCAATTAAACTACTGCCTGGGAATTATGTATTGATTACCTAATGCACAATCATTGTCTCTTTCTCCACTTGCCTTCAACAGGACACCTAATTCTCTATCTGAAACAGAAATTTTTTTTTATATTCCTGGAAAATTCTGTTGACAGCAGTGCCCCATGGTGTGTAACCCTTGTGCCCATGAAGACTAACATCTCAATAGTTCACCTCTAAACCACATTTGCCAGAAGCCCTCTCCAGGCTCCATGTTGTCACTAGCACAAAGCTGCTGTGCTGAGCAGTAACTGGAGGAGGCAGTGGTTTCCTTACTGGGGAAGAGCACTGAGGCACCATGCTGCAGTATGGACAGGGCCTTTAGAAATGGGATCCTTCCTCCTAGTGCTGGACAGCACATGGACTTTGCTCTTCTGATTTTCCCCAAATATAGAGATTTGAAGCAACTTTGCTCATGGGAGAGGCTTCCCATCCTGCCCTTTACTATGCCCACCAGGACATTTGCATGATGTCCCCAAGGAGAGGCTTCCCTTCAAGTTCCAGATAAAAACTCAACCTGTCTTGATTCATCTGGACCCTCATTTCAGCATTTCAAAATGAGGCTCCCTGCTCATTTCCTGGAGCTGGTAATGCTCTGCATCCCTGGTAAGGATGGAGGGAGATGAGGATGGAGAATGAGTGAGTGGGATGGGGTCCCACTGTTACCTGTGTTGTTCTCTCCATGTGAGAGACTGCATCCTTCAGGAACAGGGTGAGAACAAGAGCTTGAGGTCTGTGTGAGTGAGGAAAATTCCACTGGAGTTGGAGCTATGGTGAGGTGATGATGTCACAATGAAAGAGAAGGATGATCCACATTAATTCTCAAGTGGGTGCAAATGTTGGATACTTTATTATAAGTGAACACTTTTTCCTATATATGAAAATCGCAAAAATAATTTAGCTTCAAATATGAAATAATGGAGACAATATGAAAATGAATCATCATGCCTGTACATGACCTTGTCTTTCTATCCAATGATTAAGGGTCCACAGGAGATATTCAGATGCCAAGACCCCACTCTCTCTCACTCTCTTTGGCACCCGGAGAACCAGGCTCCTTCTCCTCTAGTTCCAAACAGAGTCTTGAGCATAGTGATGGAATCATCTATTTGAGATAATGGTACATAAGCCATACCAGGCTCCACAAGGCATGATTTTTCAGGTTTTCAAAAAGCACTCTTCGGTCCTAGAAAGGTGCATTAGCAGCTTATCAAGAAACGATTTCACACTCAAAATCTGCAGAGGTCAGGGTGAGGAGGCTGGAGTTTATTACTGTTATCAAGGAATAGGATGTCCTCCCCCAGTGATGCAACCCTGAGAAAAATCCTCCCGGCCTGGAAGGTCCAGCTGGTCACCTGCAATGTTGGGCACACCAGAAGAGTTTATTAGTACAGCAGAGTGCAGAAAAGGCCTCTGTGCATGACTAAGTAGAAAATCAAAAGAGCATGGGGACCTATGTTCTGTGCAGACTCTGCCACATAAAGAGGATGTGGCTGACTTCCACAGGTTCCTTGAGCTTTGCAAATTCTATTCTTTTTTTTTTTCAATTTGGATGTAAACCTGAGATGGTTAATAAGATGCAATTGGTGTATAACATTTGTACTCTATCTACCTTTTTTTGCTTATTGTGTAAGGTTCACTAGGGGATGAGGTGGTGTCAGTCTGGTTTACAGGTTGGGAGACCCAGCCTACTACTCAGGAAGGATCAGAGTTAAAGAGGTACCTTTTTCACTTTCAAGTATGGATCAGACCCAATTGCAATATGGAGGAAGGGTGCATCATGGAAGGCTAACACCAAGATTAGTAATGATCCTGGCCATGTATGCACTAGGCTGTATCACATGTTCCCCACCAATCCAGTGGGCACAACTGAACACCCAATTCATTTACGAATCTGACCTCATCAGAATGCAGGAGTGACTTGAAAACAGGAAATGACCCCTCATTTGTCACAGGAATGCCACAGAACCCACTAACATAACAAGATCCAAAGGGGCAAGAGAATTCTCAAGGAATATCTAACATGGATCAACAGTAGTTAGGGAATTTATGGTTATGTAAAGCTCTGTCTTTCCATCAGTACCCATCAAGATATGGAAATACAGTAAAAAATCAATTTAATTTAACAAATGTATCAACTGTAGAAATAAAAAAGGGTCAAAATAGTGCAGAGTGAACTAGAAACACATAAATTAATAAAGATGAATTTGATAATATAATAAGCTTAAAAGGGGACTGAAAAAATGATAAAATAAACAGCATAATACAACAATAAGAAAATGAGTCATAGAAATAAAAAAAGGACGAGAGATCAAAATACTGGACCACATTAAATATAAATAAATAAATGTGGTAAAGGAAAACACAAAACAAAGCAGAGCAAGTGAAGCAAACTCTAGAATTCTCTTGCTGAGAAAGTTATATGACAGAAGTATTTTTCTAGGTTTTCTAAAAATGAATTAGTACTTATGTGAGGAGAGTGGTAGATCCCAGCCCAGGACAGGTGTGCTTCCCTCTCCAACAGCAGATTCTGCTGACAGGTGAGCTCTGCTATATCTTAGCCCCTAGGCATGACCAGGAAAGTGTGTGTGTGTGTGTGTGTGTATGTGTGTGCATGTGTATTTGTGTGTGTCCATTTCTGTTTGTCTGTGGGGGATGAGGTGTCACTTTGTAGGCCCAACCCCCTCTAACCTGCAATTTACAATAGCCGCCCTGGTATGCGAGAAGGAGGTAGAATAGGAATGCCTGTTCTCAGTGAGACCCCTCACCCTCTGGAATCCATACTGTGAGCTGGCTTTGTTTTGCAGAAGTCTTGAGGAAGTGGCTGGCCACCCTTTGTGACACTAACAGCAGACAAATTAACAACATTCTTGAGCTAATGAATTTCTTCCTGGGCTAGAGAAGTTATGAGAACTGGTTGTGATTATTTACTTCACTTAGATAGTTTTAGAATAAACATTGTAGTCTGTCACGTTGTAGCTTGCCACAAAGAATGCCTTTTCACCACTTAATTATCTGGGCTCTGTGAACTGATCGGGTTTACTATATATGAATCCTAAAATAAAGATTGTGCGTGCAGTGCAGTGTAACGCGGTGCAGACAGTAAAGGTGTCTCTCCTGTCTTTCTTTTCCGAGCACTGTACCCCCCGTGTCCCGATCAGGCGTGTGTGCGTGTTTACCTTGCCCGGAGTTCAGAGTGCTCTAAGACACTCACGACAAGTGGCGCCTGAATTCAGGGACTCCGAAGGTCGCTTAGGAAGGTAAGTATAATTTTATTACGGGGAAATGGGACAATCTGCTTCCTCTCCTTTCTTAAAAATTCTTAAACATTTATTATCTATATATGGCATATCGCTCAGGTCAGCTGACTTGGATATGTGTATTGATACAATTAAAGAATATAATCCTTGGTTTCCAGATGAAGGAACTTTGGATGTAGAAGTATGGAGGAAGGCAAGGGTTAGTATAGAAAGGGCTATGCAACAGGAGGAAAAGATTCCTTTACGTTTTTGGGCGATTTGGTCGGTTGTGTACTCTTTATTAAAAGCTATGGAAGATGAACATATTGTAGAAAATCTTCAACTAGAAATTAAGCCAGTTATTCAGGAATTGCCCCTCACAGAGGAGGAGCAAAATGTAGTTCAAAATGACGCTATCGCTTTAAGTAGTGAAAAGGCGTCCAAACTAAAAGTAAAATCCACTACAGCCGACTCAGCTTTAGCTGCCGCAGCAATATCAAATTATGACAATCGCCCAATTTTACAGGCTATACAGCATTTAACACAAGAGGTGAAACAACTCTCCGTTAAGCAGAACCCGCCTGTAGTTCCCTCTGCACCTCCTCCATCTAACCCTAATTGGAGTAAAGCCAAGCTAGCTTTGGCTGATCTACCAAAATTAGGGGATTCTGATGAGGAAAAGCCTGCCTTTGCTTTCCCTGTAATCAGGCCGCAGCCAATAGATGGAGCGGCAGTTCCCCCTAGATGGGAAGCATTTAATATAGATGATTTAGCAAAATTAAAAAAGGCTGTAACCCTTTATGGCCCTCAGGCTCATTACACTAAAGAATTAATAACGTCGGTAGCAGATCAGTATGGTAATCTTGCTCCTTATGATTGGAAGGCCTTGGCCAAAATTCTTTTAAAGGAGCCAGAATATTTACAGTGGCACATGTGGTTTATGGAAGGTTGTGCGGAAAAGGCAAGACAAAATGCTGACGATCGAGATCCTAATATTAGACTCATTTCTTATCCCATGCTCTCTGGTACAGGTTTCTTTGATACTGTTGAGCATCAGGCAGGAGCTCCAAGAGAGATTCATGCTCAATTAAAAGATATTGCTTTAAAAGCTTGGGATAAAATACGGTCTAAAGGATCAGAATATGGATCTTGGGCTAAAGTTCTGCAAGGAGCCAATGAATCGTATGTTGAGTTCGTTGCAAGACTTCAAAATGTTATAGAAAAAACAGTAGTGGGACAAGACTTACAAGAGCATCTCTTAAAAATGTTAGCTTTTGAAAATGCTAATGATGAATGCAAAAGGGCTTTAATTCCAATAAAAGATACTGGAACGATTGACAATTTTATAAAACAATGTAAAGATTTAAATTCAGAATCTAGGAAAATGCAACTGTTTGCTGAAACCATGGCAACCACGTGGACTAATTGGCAATCTAAAAAGGAACAGTCTTTAAAATGCTTTAATTGTGGTCAGACAGGACATGTAAAGAGGGCCTGTCCAAAACTTGTAGGCAATGATCAAAAAAAGAGATCTAGAGCTCCTGGCTTATGTCCAAAATGCAAGAAGGGAAATCATTGGGCTCGTGAATGCAGGAGTAAACAAGTTAATTCAGCTGAACAGAAGGGAAACGGGAGAGCGGGCCCTACCCCGGGCCCCGGACAAATCAATGGGGTAAATCTACCGTATTCTCCCTACAGCCAGCCACCCAACACAGCGCCGCAGTGGACATACCAGCCTTAAAAGATGTAGAATTAAGAGGAGGACAATCTCCCGTGAGAATTCCTACAGGAATTTTTGGTCCCCTGCCTGCGGGAACTTTTGGCTTGCTCACGGGTAGATCTAGTTTAAATCAAAAAGGCATTACGGTTCACTTAAGAATTATAGATGCAGATTATACTGGAGAAATTCAAATTCTGATGTCCTCACTTACAGATTATAAATTATTAAAGGGAGAACGTATAGCTCAACTCATTTCAACCCTCGAGGAACTCAACCTAATGAGTTATGGCAAATGGATATTACACATGTACCTTCTTTTGGTCGGCTTTCTTATGTACATGTAGTTATTGATACCTATTCTTCATTTCTATGGGCTACTGCTCAACAGGGAGAATCCACTAAAAATGTTATTGTACATTTATTGGAGACTTTTGCAGTTATGGGAATTCCTTCTAAAATCAAAACAGATAATGGACCTGCTTATACTAGCAGAACATTTAAACAATTTTGTGATCTCCATAATATTATTCATATTACAGAGATTAAATATAACCCCCAGGGTCAAGCTATTGTTAAAAGAGCACATGGCACTCTTAAGTTGCAAATTAAAAAATTAAAAAGGAGGAGTCAGGAGGATATTCAGATACCAATACTGTTTAAATTGCAAAACAGTCCAAAAACATTACTGCATCAAGCATTGTTTATTTTAAATTTTCTCAATTTACCACAAGGTGAAATATTAACAAGAGCTGAAAGACATTTCGAACAGCAACAACAGCCCTTTGTGATTAATGAACCTATTTGGACTAAAACAGCTCCAGAGGCTGAATGGGAGAAGGGCACACTGCTCTATAAGGGGAAAGGTTTTGGTTATATCTCCACAGAAAATGGAATTCAGCAGTGGGTCCCTGGACGATGGATCAGGATCCGCGCCTCCAGACCCTGTTCGCCAGCCCCGGAGACAACTCCCCAAGGAACCGGAACCGTGCCTTCAGAAGCGAGCGCGAAACCAGCTAGAGGCTAAAGATGCTGAGCTTGTTCCTATCGCAGCCATGGCCAGATTACAGCTAAGAAAATCCCGCCGCTCACAGCGACCAAATTTAAATCCCCTCCCTACATAGGGACAATTAAAGAAATTGACCATAGAAGGGCAACGGCTTGTCCTTCAAGCAGGAAAGCCTTTAAACCCTGAAAACTTGTTTTTAGCTTTATGTGCCTTGCTCACCGTTGCATCGGGGACTGAGGTACCTCCACATTCGTACTGGGCATATATTCCAAATCCCCCTTTATTAGAACCTGTAAAATGGGGAACTAGTGATATTTTACTTTATACCACACCTAGAGAAATTTTGTCAGCACCGTGGGCTGATTTAACCCCCCACAATCAAGATGATGGGACATTATTCAATTTTACTTATTATGGTAATCAAAGGCCTATTTGCATTGGGGAACCGCCTTGCATCCCTCTGGGATGGCAGTATTGGATTCAACATGGAATAAAAGCAGGCAACAAAAGGACAAGGCTTCAAGCCTTGGCTGCTCAAACCTTTAATGTTACCTGGAGAAATTTAACAGCACCTGACATAAATACATTTCCTGTATGCCCTGAATTCACTTATAAAAATATTTCTTATAATCCCATAATTTGGCAACTATGTATGGGAAAATTTGCTAAAAATATTGATGGGTATATTATTTGGGGACCATTTGGAAAATTCGTTAATGGATGTGCTGAATGGAATGAGACAAGATGTAATCTCTCTGTTGTGTATAGTCTTCCAGATCCAAAGAAAATAACTGACGGAGCTCCTATATTTCCTCAGAAGACGTCTCTTTTGTGGTGGGGAGATGGTGGAATCGCTAACCCTGCTGTTGCAGCCGAAGAATACCCTCATCACCTTCAAAATCATATTTGGAAGATTCCAGCCGCTATGCAACCTGTAACCTTGTACAATGTTTCCTATTCAGGGACTAGTCGATCTGTATCTACTACTTATAATTTTACTAGGTTTAAAATGTATAATATTACTGTTTGTGCACCTCTGCCTTATGTCTTTTTAGTGGGAACTTTTAATTTTACACATTTTTCTTGTACTTGTTTAAATTGTCAATTGTTTACATGCTTAAATAGCACACTAAATTTCACTAAGCCTTATACAGTTATGCTGTTACAACAAAAAACTCATATTTGGTTGCCTGTAAATTTAACTCGACCATGGTCTCAAGACCCAGTAATTTCTGTTACTACTGAATTTTTTAAACATCTGTTAAAACGTACAAAAAGATTTATTGGAATAGTGGTTGCTGTACTGTTAAGTCTGATAACTGTAGCCTCCCTAGCAGCAGTCTCAGGAATAGCTTTACAAACCTCTTTGCAAGAAAAACATGTTGTAGAATTATGGCATGAGAATTCTCATGAACTTTGGTTAACTCAGTGGCAAATAAATGCCAAACTACAACAACAAATAGACCTCCTTAAACAAACAGTTGAATGGATGGGTAGAAAAATATTGGCTCTTCAGCATCAAATGTTTTTAAAATGTGATTGGAATTCAACTACTTTCTGTATAACCCAACGACCTTATAATCAAACAGAACATGAATGGGAAGTGATTAGAATGTATCTAAATGGAAACACCTCTGCCCAGGAGAAAATAGAATCTTTGCATAATCAAATTGACAAGGATTTTGCAAAGCAAAATGATGATGAATCCCTGGCACAATTCGCGCAATTGCTTGCTCAATCTTTGAAAGGATTAGATTCCAAAGGAATCTGGCAGAGCATAACCCACACTTTAAGTGGCATGGGACTTAGTTTAATTATAGTTCTCATTGCCATAGTTCTTGTGTATTTTTACTGCATAAGACGAAATACTATTAATAACCTGATCTTATGGAAATTATTGTTAAAAAATAAAAAGGAAGGAAGTGTGGGGGATGAGGTGTCACTTTGTAGGCCCAACCCCCTCTAACCTGCAATTTACAATAGCCGCCCTGGTATGCGAGAAGGAGGTAGAATAGGAATGCCTGTTCTCAGTGAGACCCCTCACCCTCTGGAATCCATACTGTGAGCTGGCTTTGTTTTGCAGAAGTCTTGAGGAAGTGGCTGGCCACCCTTTGTGACACTAACAGCAGACAAATTAACAACATTCTTGAGCTAATGAATTTCTTCCTGGGCTAGAGAAGTTATGAGAACTGGTTGTGATTATTTACTTCACTTAGATAGTTTTAGAATAAACATTGTAGTCTGTCACGTTGTAGCTTGCCACAAAGAATGCCTTTTCACCACTTAATTATCTGGGCTCTGTGAACTGATCGGGTTTACTATATATGAATCCTAAAATAAAGATTGTGCGTGCAGTGCAGTGTAACGCGGTGCAGACAGTAAAGGTGTCTCTCCTGTCTTTCTTTTCCGAGCACTGTACCCCCCGTGTCCCGATCAGGCGTGTGTGCGTGTTTACCTTGCCCGGAGTTCAGAGTGCTCTAAGACACTCACGACATTTGTCTATGTGCATGTGCTTATGTGCATGGAGCTGCTACCCCTGCACCTAGCCTTGGAGCCTGCTGGCCAGATAGGCACATGTGGGGCACATGTATTCACTCTGCACTTTCAGAGATGGAGCTGAGGTCCATCTGAGGTCACATCTGTAAATGTGTTACAAACTAGAGGAAAAGAATTGACCACTGACTCCTACACTACAAGAGGCAGCAGATGAAAGGAACCATCTGCCACATGGTCTTACTCTCACTGTATTCAAAACCACACCCCTCAGCCAGCCAAATGCGATGGGTCTACTGATCTCCATACAAGGCAGGGTCCTCCACAAGAGGAGTGACAACCACTTCAACTCTGAGCAAGCGTGAGGGTGATCTTTCCCCTCTCCACAAGTGTCTCATGAGGCCACCTCCAAACAGGTACTGCAGGACGGGGCGCTTTGGGTCCACTCTGTTTTCTGAAGTCCACAATAGTTCACTGTCAAGTATTGGGACTTTCCTAAGATACCCCAGGTTACATCATCACTCCTGGATATTACAAGAGTTACAATGAATTTCTACTAAAAAATTCACAATTCTGCAGAAGCTCTCACTTGCAGAATAAATTCCTTACCTGAGATTCAAATTTAGAAGAGTAACTGGTTTCTCCTTAGACATGTGCAATGCATTGGGAATGTGGCTGATACAGAATCAAAATATCACAGAAAATGTATTTGTGTGACAAAAACAGATACAAAGGACAAACTAGAAGCTCTAAAGCCAACTGGGGAACTCGCCAGTTACAGCTACTAGGCGTGATGCAGAGAGCTTTAGTTGCAAGTAAAACATCCATCTAAAGAGGCTGAGGCTACACAGTGACACCCCGGCTACCTCAGATCCACAATCCTCGTGAAATAATAAAACAGGGCACAGAAAGCACACAAAAGAGAGAACTGAAAAAAGGGAGTGGGAGGACAAGTGAAGAAAGAAAGCAGGAGGAAGAGGCAGGAGAGGGGAGAGAAGAGGAAAGACAAAAGGGAAAAATTTGGACTCATTTTTAAATTTTGTCACCAAACCTGCCTAAGCACCTGTCACATTCATCTGGAAAGTATTGAAGAGAACAGCAAACAGGAGCTCTGGTCTCCCCCTGGGCATGAGCCACACAGCAGAAGCCTGAGCCAGAACTCGCTTTGTGCAGACTCCTAGGGGCCTAAACTAAACTGGCTCACAAGTGCTCTCTGTGGGTGAAGTGTACAGCAGAGGGGGAATAGAAATTACCATTCCCACAGGAATGAACTGATGAACTGAAAAGAGGGCTCAAAGTACCCTAGGAAATGAGATTTAAAAAAACAAGATTTCCTTGAAAGTAATGAGTACAGACCAATATGAGCTAATATCTGTATTTCAAAAATGTCTGCTTCAGAAAGATTGGGAATTTTAACCTTGAGTGTGGTATATGAAGTGCAAAATGAAACCCTGTTTGGAGGAGGATACAGCAATACAAAATCCTCAAGAATGCTCACAGCTGCTATGTAAAGAGCCATAGATTACAAAGTCAGCTATGCTAGGTACTAAAACTCATATAGATAGGTAACTATCACTGGAAATATCAGACAGCAAAGGGCTCTTCCAATTCTTCTGATCTGGTTCCTAGGATAAGATATTTAGGAAATAAATTTTAAACTTCATATTATTTAAGAAGTAAAGGAAACCAAGGAAAAATAAACCACTAATCAGCTGTAGAAAATTGACATCCCAATACATTTTATACACACTATAAAAGCACTGACATCATCCTCATAATTAAGCCACAAATATTCACAACTCAATTTGTGGTTTATTAATTGATTTAATCAGTGTAATATCACCATTAATTTTGCTTTCAGAAGATTATTGCTATAATTCTATTCTTAGCTATGAAATATTAAAACAAATTATTATACCCTGATATGAGTCTCACCCAAGATGCTCATTCACTTCAATACAACACAGCCAAACAGCATGTGGTTTTTAAAGCCTCCTTTATTTACAAGGACAAGAATATGAAACCTGGCCCAATGTGTCTGAGTCGGACGCTAACAATTCCTGGTCTCCTCCCACTGTGTGTTAAGCTTTAGAACTTTGTCATGTGTCTGATCCAATGAGCTGAAATTTTTTTTCATTTCATTCCTACTGATCCTGGTGAGACAGATGAGGAACAGGGCCTAAGGAGTCCAGATAGGACCAAAAAATGAATGTTTCAACTTCTCAGACTTTTTGGTAGGCACCCACATATTCAGAAGACAGTCACCCAATACAGATAGTGAGCAACAGTCAGCCCAGCACAGTGAGGCTGAGTCAGAAGGATGGACAGGTGGGGCAGAAACTGGGCAGGTGAACAATGCTGAGACACAGTCTCAAAATCAGAGAAATACAAAGGACTGGCGATACACCTCAGTGTGAATGTCATAGGTTTAAGCCCCAACACACACGCACACCCAATAAGTACAAACAGCGTCCCTTATTTACAATAAAAGCACACATGATAGCATCCTTATTTACTAATTTTGCCACAAATATTCCTTCCCAAATCTGTGAGAGGCACACGGCAGCTTTGGGCTGCAATAAAAAATCACACGAATTTACAGACCAATGATAGCTTGGCTTAACTCTCTCCCATCTCAGATAAACTCCAGGACCATAGCAGCCTTTGGTTCAAACTACACTGAGGCTTTAAACCCTGGATTCAGTGGGGACATCTGACATTGAGAATGTCTCTTTAAACTGTGGAGCATGACTACACAGTATTTATTAAAACAAAAATTAGCTATGAAAAGCTTGCTTTATGATAGTTCAGAAAAAACTAGCATCAATTATTTCTCCTTTAGTATAAAACCAAGAGAAATCTTTGCCTAAAAAATAAAACTGCTGTGTGTGTGTGTGTGTTGTGTGTGTGTGTGTCTGCAAGACTAGCTTGAACAGATATTGACCAATTTGAAAATCTAGTCACAAGGAATTTCATATCCGCCTATATAAGTCGTATTGTATAAGATAGAGCATATTATATAAGACAGAGTTACTGGTTTCCAATTTGAATACAGATGTTTTTCTCTGTATCATATACTTTTGATTTTAGTGCTACTATGTCATTTAATTCCTGTTTCAAGGAAAAGATTATTTCTAATACTTGTTTCTAAGATGATGAATGTTGCCTGGTTATAAAAAAAGGTCTTCTCATCACTACTAAATGGTGTTAATGCTAGAAAATGCTAAAAAAATGAATTCTGATAAACTTACAATTGCTGCTTCCTTTTCCATAAGGCTAAGAAACATGAGCACTCCCCTCCCAGAGACTGATCTACACAAACCCCTGTATCATGGGAACTGAAGTCCTGTCTGGGATGGGCAGAGTCATGAGCACTGTGTCTATGCTGCAGAATCAGATTTTCCCAGAGATCTTTGTACCCATTGCTGCATAAAGAATGGATTGTAGCTCTATTGCTTTCCCCCAAATGCAGCAGACATTTTATACCACTGGGCTCCCATGAGAAGCCTCCCACCATGCTCTTCACTCTCTGCACCACTGCACCCACCTGGGAATTTGCATTTTGTTCCCAAGGGAGGACCTTCCCAATTGAGTCTCAGATAAAAGCTAGATTTATGGTGGCCCTGCCTGATCAGGAATCTTCAGTTCAATTTCTCGAAATAAGGCTCCCTCTTCAGGTCCTAGGGCTGCTATTACTCTGGATCAATGGTAAGAACACTGGGAGATGAGGCGGACTCAGTCTGAGAGGGTGACTTTCAGGGTCCCACTCCACCTGATCAGTCCTGTCCATACATGAGATGTGCAGTCCTGAGTTGAAGCGTGGGTGTGGGAGGTTATATCAATGGGTGAAGAAAATTCCTGAGGCACTCAATAACTGCCCTTTGATGAAGATTGCCGCAAAGAAAGAGAGAGGTGCTGAGATGAATTCTAGAGGGGTTCTTGTAATTAGAAACCTTGAACACAATCTCAAATTTGAAAATCTTTCATTGTACATTACATTAAAGATACTAATTTCACTTGATAGTGACAAAATACAGAAATCTATCAAAATGGCTTATGATGTTGGCTCCTGACACTGCACTTCTCCTTCATCATTTTAGGATCCACAGGAGATGTAGTGATGACCCAGACTCCGCTCTCCCTATCTGTCTCCCCTAGAGAGCCAGCCTCCATCTCCTGCAGGTCCAGTCAGAGCCTCCTGTATAGTGATGGAGACACTTATTTGCACTGGTTGGTGCACAAGCCTGGCCAGGCTCCAAGGGCTATGATTTATGAGGTTTCTGAAAAGTACTCTTGGACCCCAGAGAGGTTCACTGGCAGTGGGTCAGGAACAGATTTCACACTCAAAATCAGCAGGATGGAGGCTGAGGATGCTGGAGTTTATTATTGTGTGCAAAATACACATGACCCTCCCACAGTGCTATAGCCCTGAACACAAACCTCTCTGCCTGCGGAGGCCCAGCTGTCCTCCTGCACTGCTGTCTGGGGAGCAGCACAGCACAGCCTGCTCTGTGTGAGAGGAAGAGGTTGATGAATCAGAAAAACAAGTTGCAGCTGAGGACTCTGCCTGGGAGAGAGATTGAGGAAGGAGCAGAGCAGCAAGGCCCTGTGTCATGGAAGAGAGAGAGAAGAAAATCTCCACTGCGAGGTCTTCCTTGTGCACACCCTTGACCCAACAGAGGCTGTAATGAAAAGTAGGGAGATAGTTGACTGTATTTTAAAGGCAAAACAAAAGAACTTCATTGTCTTTGTGGATGTGTTGTGTAATAAAAAGGTAAAAAGTCATGATAAGTGTTCCACAGGTTTGAATCTCTGCAATTGGAGAATTTGAAACCATATGTTGTGAGACCAGGGAGTTGAAGGGAAGCAGCAAGGAGAGCAGGGGAACTG